ATAAAGGATGGATGTCACCACTGTGACATCATCCATTGCTTAGCTTGGGCCCAGCTTCTTTTATACTGATAGGTCATCTTAAACTATACGCTGATTTATCCTGATTTGCACCATTAACTATGACTTTAGTTGTTACTGGAATCAACCAATGGGAGACAGAGAGACTATTTTTTATTAATAGACGTCTATGAAACAAAACTGCATTTTAAAACTAAAGGAGCCATTCCTTAGAAAGAATGCAGGTGTAAAGTTCTCCCAAATTGGGTTTCTGTTTAAAACCCAGGATGACATCTTTTATTTACAGTCTATGTTTGTCTTTTATTTGATCTTTCTCATTGATCATTGACCCCCTCAAGGGCGGGAGAATTGTTGAATTGTTACAGAACAACCACAGTTGCTTTGTAAGATCAACACTCAGCCCACAAGCACATCCAAACACACACCAGAGGTGTTGAATGGCTGTTTTGAAATAGCAGCAGTGACTCGGTGTTCAAGACCCTATGGCTATCAAGCAGTTTATGAACCTCTGGTTTCCAGCATTTTCCTGTTTATTAGATAGGCTTGCATTATGCATTCAGGAGGCTCTGGTAACTGGTGTGAGTCACACCTTCACACACACACACACACACACACACACGCACACACAGCCTCCAGTTCCCCTATAGGGTCCAAGTCGTGAGTTATGTTACCACTGCAGTCTGCTCGATCTAGATGAAAGACTAAAGGAGGAGTTTAAATGCAGACTTGTGAGTCTGCATTCCTCTCACACATTATGCTGTGCATCCTGGAGTAAGTCAGATCTTTGTTACTGTTTAGTACTGCCTGTAAGTACTTTCACGTACTGACACTGCAGAACATTTGTTGCAGATGCTCTGAGATTCATCAAGGTCACATCATGGTTGGACAACAAGGACACGCTGTCTTTCATGAGAGACAATGCACTGTGTGTTCTGCTCCAGACACATGGGGGGGAGGGGAGAATAATCCTGAGTTTGTGAATGTGTGTGTATGTAATCATGCCATTCCATAGTCCTGTGTGTCCAGAATCATCCTTCTTTCAAACCTCCTTCCTTCCTTTCCTCAGTTATCGTTCTTCTCGCAACACGTGCTGTCTTCTCCTTTCATCTCATTGGCTCCTCTTTCCTCCTCTCATCCTCACGTTCTCTTGTCTCTTACCTCCTCTCTTTCCAGTTTTGTGTTTTCATGTCGTCAGCGCAGAAGCTGCTTGCCTGTTCAGCACACTCAGGCTGGGTAAGGTGTTGCATAACAGGCCTAACTTAATAAATCATCTGCATCGTGTGGTCTGGTGTGGTTTGATCTGTGGTGACAGCAACCAAAACAGGATGACATGCTGACTTGAAGTTAGATATAAGATAGTTAAGACAGCTAAGATTGGTAGATATGAATTGTAAGCTAAGTAAATTTTTGCTCTAAAAAGTCAAAAACAGTGAAGTTAAGAGAAAAGGTTTTAAATTGTCAAGGATCTTAGCCAAATGGTTTATTTTAATGTAGATTAAACACACTTCCATGCTGGTTTCACTTTTCAGATCTACAAGTCACATTCATTATCTAGAGGAGCTTCAGAGTCCAAACACAAAGAAGGTGTCTTACCAGCTAAATTTATCATTTATCTACAAAACTAATAATTAATATAAAAGGTCCAGAAAAAATGGTATCTACTAGCAGAATAAGTTCTATTGCTTATTTAAACTCAGCTAGTTGAATAAATATCTCTGTAAGCTGAAGCATTAACATTTCTCCTCACTGCGTCGAAGGAGACCAGAAAAACAATGCCATGGCATTTTTCTTCCAACACCAAACTGTACAGTTGGCACTCCGGCAGGTAATGTTCTCCTGACATTTGCCAAACCAGACTTGTCCATCATAGTGCCAGATAACAAAATATGATTCATCACACCACAGACCACAGTTCCACTGCTCCAGAATCTAGTGGTGGTGTGCTTCACTCCGCTCCATCTGACATGGCATTGTGCTTGGCAATGTATGTTTACATGTTGCAGCTCAGCCATGAAAACCCATGCCATGAAGCTCCTGGAACATAGTTTTTGTGCTGATGTTGCTGCTAGGAGATTTAAACTACAAACTATAAAATTTGCATCTGTAATGTTAGATGGGCTGACACTTTGTGTCTATGTTGCCATGGTTCATAAATGCTTCCACTTTGCAATAATACTACCTACAGGTGGGATATCTAGGAGGAAGGAAATGCTGCAATTGTGGCATCTAATTACAGTATCACGCTTGAATTCAGTGAGCTCATTAGAACAACCGATTTTTCACAAATCTTTAAAAGGACATACTGTGTGGCTAGGTGTTTGATTTTATACACCAGAATATATTATACGCTTGAATTTAAAGATAACTGTGATCCAGTACTTTTGTCCCTATAGTTGATTTCCAGGTCACGTCACACCATCAGTACCCATCCATCCATTCTCTTCCACTTATCCTTTTCAGGGTCACGGGGGGGTGCTGGAGCCTATCTCAGAAGTCTTAGGGCGAGAGGCAGGGTACACCTTGAACAGGTCGCCAGTCTGTCACTGGGCTAACACACAGACACAGACAACGATTCACACTCACATGCCCTATGGGCAATTTAGAGTTTCCATTTAACCTATCCCTACTAACTACATGTCTTTGGACTGTGGGAGGAAGCCGGAGTACTACAGTAGATTCTCTATGGATACATTTTTCTGTGATGTGCTCCTGAGGCTGGCTCTCTGTCTGCTTTGTGTTTATACCAGGGGTCAGCAACCTTTCCACGCAAAAGAAAACACTGGGAGCCGCAAATACTTTTTGACATCTAAAATGAAGATAACACTGTATATATTGTTTTTTACCTTTATGCTTTGTGTGAACAACTAAGGTCTATTGCTTGTGAAATCCATGAAGTGCTACAGAGAAAATGACATTTTATTTATGTAATTAACACATTTTGAACTCTTAAAGAAATATAACAAAAGGAAAGACACCCAGCTGAACTAAAATGATCCATGTAGCAAACAAAAACTGTTGTGAGCCGCCACCCTTATATTGCCTTTGGGCTTTTGGAGCCTTGACCTGACTTTTAACAAAATAATTGGGATAAAAAGCACTATGCTGCTAAAAACAGAAAAATAGATTTTTGCAAAATTCCGCCTAAATATGTATTTTACCTGGTTAATGTGTGTGGCGGGGCGTGGTCTGCTGCGCTGCTGCAGGGGAGGCGGAGCAGCACCCGCAATCACACCTCGCCGCCTTAACGTCTGTGCGATCTATGCTGTTGTGTTGGTATGTGTCGGGCTGTGAGCTGAAGAGCTACAGCTGGCTGTATGTGTACAGCAACCGTGTGTGAAAAGTGGTCTATAAAGAGATGCTGAAAAGCATGTTCATGCAAACATCGTCAGGTCTCCCGTGGTATGCTTACAATGGAACTTCTGCTCCTGAACCTCTGCGCACAGCGTCTGCAAATCGGGGCTGTACGAAGTCACTTCATCTTTATGCAGGACTGTAAGCTGTCATCTGTGAGGCGTGAGCGGTGTTTGTTTTTAACATAGTTCACGGAGGAGAACAGCTGCCGACATAATGTGGATCCGAAGATCCATAACTGGCCTACCTGGGGTTGAAAGTCTCGATAAATGCACGGCGTTTCGGCGGGTACACCGGCTTCCGCGAGTGTGACGCTTATTTTGAACGATAAAAAAATAATAGAATATAATTTTATATTTCAATATCACAATAATCTTCCAATTTAGAACTACAAGTTAAAAAAGAACATAAATAAACATAAATAAAATACACTTCAGTTAAATACTTAAAAAAACAAATTTATTTTCCCAAACCACGCGGAGCCGCACTATAAGGACTAAAGAGCCGCATGCGGCTCCAGAGCCACATGTTGCCGACCTCTGGTTTATACAAAAACACTATCATAAGGATCTTGTGTATGTTTTCATTAGTATAGAGATTTGTGCCACTGCGCGGGTCTGTGGTTTAGATTGCTCACTGTTAACTATGCAACAATACATCTTAGACCAGCTTTAAAATCATGATAGAAAGCCGAGGAACAATAGAAGAGGATTTAAAGTTAGAGGTCAGATGTGGATGAGGTTCTACAGTAGGTAGATTAATAGTATTGACAGGATTTGACTGAATAACTTTCTTTCATTCAGCTGTCTTTGTTCGCTGACTTTAGAAGCAGAAGAGAATATGAGCGAGGCTTTTTGAGCCAGTCATGGTTGATAGGAAAACAACACAGCAGAGAAGTGTTAATGCAGGAAGCTGACTGACAGCAGGCGTCCTGCATTTCCACACATACAAAAACCTGCCTCTCAAGGGCCCACCAAATTGTTTGTGGTGTATTATTGATGAGAATAATCCTCCTCTTTCCCCCCTCTAAGTTCTTCTTTCATCCGCTTTTCTCTCTCTTAGCCTGTCTTTCTCTCTCACAATACAACTCAGCAGGATGTTATTTGTAAATATTTTTGGACGTACTTACACTACAGCTGTGGCAGAAACCTGCAACATGTATATATGTGTACATTTACAGATTTCTTCCTGCTAAAAGGGAGTTTTTTCTTCCCAGTGTTGCCAGGTGCTTCCTCATAGGGGACTGTAATATAAAGCGCCTTGAGGTGATTGTTGTTGTGATTTGGTGCTATGTAAATAAAGCCGAACTGAATCTGTCCAGATGCAGATGCAACTCTCACTTCTCTTTGCTCACCTCTACCACTGTTATTTGACCTGGAAACAGACAAAGAAGTGGTGATTGGCTAGTTGTACCACATGATTGGAATGTGATTTGTTGCTGAACGCTGATGTCCAGTCTGTGCAAGCTAAGTGTCAGCTTGTGTCAGTAGCACAAGGGAGCCTGATGAAGGCATCTATAGTGGTGCACATGGGCAGTCAGCAAAAATCACGCTTTATTTGAGTGTGTAACAGTCCTCTCTTTCTTTGTGTGACTCTGTGTTCACTCACTGCCCATGTCTGTTTTCTGTCAGGCTCCAGGCTCTCAGTATAGAGCTGAAAACTCAGAGAAAAGGTTAGAGCACAAGAAACCCGAGACGTTGCCTGGCTCCATGTCTGCCCCTGCTCCACCCAATCAGAGGTCTACATCGGTCTCTCGCCGGTAAGTAGAGTGAATACCTGTTTTGTGATACCAGTGCTCACCTGTGATAATTATGGGCTTTCTGTGCACTGCAAGGTAACCATGGTTGAAAAGTCTGCAGGGAATAAGTGTGTCATATTGTACTGTAGTGTCTCAGAGCCCTGAGAAATAAGTAGAGAAAAATTCATTTCAGTGATTCATCGTTTCTTAAATATTTTTTGTCTGTAAAATAAAAAAATAAGAAGCAAAAAATGAGATTCATCTGCTAAAAACCAGTAACTTCTTTTTATGGTACTCAATTCAACCACAAGCCTCATGATCTAAACAGAGTAAAAAGTATAAATACTAAACCATCCCTGAGTATTGTGTGGCTTGCAGGCAACATCCAGGCCCAGCCTGGTGAGGTGTGAGGTGTGCGTGAAGGTCAAACATAAAGAAGTACACATTTTGCAGTTTATCTAATTTCAGACACCAAACACTCTTCAATAAACTCCTCATCTCCTGTCTTTTGCAATTTTGTGAGAAATCATAATTCAGCTTTTATGCTTTTACTTTAAAGGCAGCTGCTTTTTTTTCACTACTTTAAAACCCTGTGTGTATGCAATTGAATCCAGCATCACTGTAAATGTTAGTGATAATAGTGTTGGTGCTTTTATTATGCCTGTTTCACCTTTTCATTGCCTAACTGTAACATCTACTCTTACCAGTAGCGGATAATAAAGAGATAAAATTAATATTGTGCTGAAATGAGTTCAGCTTATTGGTGCAGTCCTTGCTCTCCAGTTTTTTCATATAAAGCTAAGCTGTATTTCCTTTGCACAAGCTTTCAGAATTATCCAGAAAAGAAGCTTTTTGTTGGCCTCTGAGACTCCACACACTCCCTATCAAACTGTGATGGGAGACTTGGGCTTTATATCAATATATACTGATTCCCCTTAAACACAGAACCTGCGCTTACATTGTCGGCTCATTTTTATCCCACTAATTTGACTCTCCTGGTAGATTGCCCTGGTCATTACTGAAATGAACTGGCTTAGTCACCCACAGAACTTTCCACTCCCATCAGTGCATTTTTACAAGTGTGGCATTATGCTCAATTGCTCCGCAGTAAATGTTTTTGTGTAAATAAATAAATAAATTTGGAGTAAAAACAAGTGTCAAAGACTGGAAAAACTTTTTTCTTCTGTTTCACTAATGAAAAACAGATTAAGGGACAGATTATCCTGTCAAAACGCCATTTTGAATTGTTCCTAAATCGTCTTAAGTCAAAAAAGAAAGCTGGATTATCTGTATAAAGTGAATCACATGACCTCACTTGTCATTGATATCTTTGCTGGTTGGTTAAAAAGTTTCCAAAGAGTTTTAACTTAGGACCATCTTTGGGATCTACAAGTTGAGCATTGTTAGTTTAAAACTTTTAGTTTTTCTGTTATCAGAGACCATAGTCTTGGTCTCTGATAATATGTAGGAACCATCGTGAAATGGAAAGAGAAATAGAAACATGTTCTGTAGCACGATGGATTGGCGAACATATGGTTCCCCAAAAACATGCAGCTTTCCAGCAGTGATAATAATATATACACATATAATAATAATAATAATATACACAGCTAGGACTACATCACAATACATACATCTCAAAATATCACCTTTTTATAATGTTCCTTTCTAATCTTGCTGTAGTATCCAAAATAAGGTCATGCTAAACAAAAAAACAACAAAAGCACATTTAAATCAACAGTTATTATCTCTACTACTCCCAGACAGAAACATTGCCGTATTCTGGCTCAGTTCTGAAGACAAACCATATGGTGCGATGACCTATGGGCATCTCAATCCTGGCTGCTTAATGTCAGCCATATGTGGGCAACAGATTAGCTAAATGTCAGCCACAAGTTAACCAAATAAACCATAAGTGGCCTTGTGCTGACTGAAACATATGGTTTACAAAAACATGTGTAGGACTACACCCTTCACCATGTAATGCATTTTTTTGTGTTGTGTTTATTTTAATACCTGCTTATTCAAGGCTTTTTTAAATGTTTCAATATGATGTATTAATATTAGCATGGATTTGTGTTACAAATGGTGGGGCTGGTGGAGGTTTGCCCGGTGTCATTGGGGGGGGATTTCACATCCCCAACAGTATAATATTATGTGTAAGAGCAGCCTGTGTGTGTGTGTGTGTGTGCGTGTGTGTGTGTGTGTGTGTGTGTGTTTTCTCTTTAACAAATATTCATAGTCAATGTGGTGCCACTTTTTAATAAGTGAGAGAAAATAGGGTGTTTTAGACGCATGGGGTGTGCGCCTTTAAGACTGCAGTGGGAACTGCGACACTTGAGCTTTTTCCGACACGGTTAGCTTTCAGTATTTATGAAGGATTAAAAAAATATAAATGACAAGTTAAGGCAACATTTACTGTTACTGTTACAATTTGTAGCAGCAATAATTAAATGTTTACAAAATTACACCACCAAATGGCAAGCTGGCATTGCAGTTAGCACTGAAACTCAGTTATCAGTACTTTCAGTAAAGAATGTGTAAAGATCTTCTGAATAAACAGTTAATGAAACTGCTGATTGCAAACCAGGAAAAACTGGCATTTGTTACTTTGTATTGTAGCTTTATAATAAGTCAAATTGTAAAAGACCAACATATCATGTAAATATATCTGTCTTTATTTAAAAAGTGGCACCATGCTCAGTTTGTTTCTGTACTTCCTGTAAATAACTCGTCTAAGACTTGTTGATGAATAAATGGACCTAAAATTGAGAACTAGAGTGCTATGAAAAGTATTTGCTGCCTTCTTTTTCTTTTTTTTTATTTACTACATTTACATGTTGAGATCATCACACATTCCACATTCATTGTGCCCTTTCCAAAAGAGGTAGCACTCTGGAATCCTGTCCCACAGTGTCCTTACAATGACAATAAATCTTACAAATTTTAATATTAGAAAGAGATAAATACAAAATGCAGTTTTTAGATAATGATTTCATTTATTAAAGGAAATAAGTTATTCAAACCTCCTTGGCCCTACACGGAAAAAGTAATTGTTCTCCCTAATTAAATGTATTGAATAGAATGGAACAGAATAGAATAGAATAGAATAGCTCTTTATTATTTACGAAATTGTTGTGATCAACCACATTGTTCACTTTCACTAGTCCATCCCTCAGCTTGTGTCCTGAACCTTATGCAGCACTAATCCAAAACAGTAAGTCCAACTATAATTTTGGGGTGTTCAAAGTAAATCTGGATCTAAATCCAGTTAAGATGTTTTGGCAAATATCTTAACCTCTTTTTTGAATTAAAACATTTCTGTAAAGAAAAGTGGGCCAAAATTCCTCCACGGCGATGTGAATGACTCAGTGCCAGTTATTGCAAACGCTTGATTGTAGTTCTTACTGCAGGGTAAGGGTAAGGGTGGCGTAACCCGTCATTATTGTTCCACCAAGGCCAGTTAGGTTTAGATAACTTTTTTCTTTTTATATGAACTCAGTCTGTTTGTCTAGGGACAAATACTGTTTTCATAGCAGTGTATGTTCTAAATGCTGTAAATAGCAACTGACTTGAACAGAGTTTATTGAGTATATTGATGTTCTCTCCTTTAGCCACTGGACTAACCTGGCCTGTTTACTGGACACAGGATGAAGGATAAGATGTATTTTATGTCTGTAGGGACCACTGTTGACTTTTGCACAACCATTAACTTGTTTCGGAATGTGAATGCTGATATAATATTGTAGGCATAATGTGTTGTTATATACTTAATGCATGAGTGATGGACATTGCTTTTCTTCTGTGGTCCAGTTTGACACTACCAGTACTTTAATACCACAGAAAGCCAATGTGTCGTTTCTTTCAGCTGATGTGTTAAATAGTCTTTGCTGTCATCTAGCTGTTGCTTGCTATGGTGTATGTGTTGGGTACAGACTGATAAATGGTCTCTTAAACTGGAGCCAAGCTGAATCTGTCTGGATGGTTTAATGTTTTTACAGGAAAAGTTGTGTAACTGCAGACGGATCAACGTGTAGTTGTGGTGTCCTCCTCTCTCTTATTTATTTTCCTCAGATTCAACCCTCTGAAGGTGCTGCAGCCCAAACGTCGCTTGCAGCAAATACTGGCGTCCTCGCCCGTGCCGGTACCCAAGCCGGTACCCAAGCCGGCGTCTGGGTCGGTGACTGCTGTGCCAGCCGCCACAGCACCAGTGGCCATTCCTGTGCCCGCGCCCCCTGCGTGAGACACACTTCAGTTACAGTCTGAGAGAGCATGCTCCATAGCTGTAGCTGTAGCTTTGGCATGCACTGTAGCCACTAAAACCAAAATTGGAAATTAAATGTTGGAAAAATAAACAACAGCACACAGGCAAGTTAAGGTTCTAACCTGTGAATAATGCAGTGAAATGTGGTCAGGTTAGGATTAATCTTTGCAGTCAGGTGTGTGGCTTCTCCTGTCAACATCACCTGTTGCAAAGCTGCACAGCTCACCTTTTAGGGAATTTCAATGTCAATGATCAGGCAAGCGGTTGGCACAAAGTAGATTTTTTATTTGAGTCTCCTGATGCTGTGAATCTACTTAATTTCTCTTTTATTTGGTAGTTTTCATGCTAAAAAATCATGTGTTTGTGATTTTAATAAAAAGTTGGAACAGAACAGATCCAGATCTACCGTAAACGGTGTCATAGGATCACAACTGCCAAAAGTAAAAGTCGATTTTTTATTTGACTGTTGTTTGCACTGAAGACTTTATCTAAGACGCAGTACTGAAACTCAGAAGTTGGGATAAATATTTATCCCCAGCATAGATAAGAATAATTTAGCAGACACAGACATGTATGTGCAGGTAAACTGAAGAGTTTACCATCAGTAGCTAGCTTGTTTAGTTAGCTAACATTACCTCTGGATACTAGATGGGTACTTGCATGCAATCAATGCTAAAAGACCTATTCTTGTTATACAGCGTAGAGCTAGTTGATGACTTATAAGGTATAGTCCTGTTATTCATTAAGATTTAGCTTTAAACTATGTAAAGCAACAAGAGACAAAAGGAGGTCTATGTATTGAATTTGCCAAAATCTGCTATATTTTCATTTACTTTAGATGATGTTTGCTACAAGAAAACCTGCACCATGCTACTGTTAACATAAAGGCTAAAGGTTTATGATTAGTTTAGTGCGGAATTAGCATAGTTCTTTATAGTGCATTAAATCTTAAAGCCAAGATTATCCTCCGTTGTGGACACAGACATGGACTGCTGGAGACCCATAGGCCAAGTAGTAGTGTGTACAAAAATCAGAATGGTAATGTGGCAAATGCTTAAACCAAATCAGAGGGTAGTGTCATTGTGGCTACTTTCAACACATGTATACAGTCTGTGGCCTGTAAGGAGCACAGAAAGTGGCAAGAACTGTGTGCGTGTTGTTGTGTCACATCACCTTCGAGTACAGAGTCTGTGATACTATCATGTACTTAAATGCAAGAATTGGTGCTAATCTTTCAAGGATTAGGTTTAGTGGCTACATGCACGGTAGAAATGGCACGTTTAATGTGCATACTGTGATCACTGGTTGACCGCAGCCACTCACTCAACAGCACTGTGTGAAACACTCATGTGCAGCAGCATTGCCTGTAATGCGAATGTGCTTTTGGTTTATCGAGATATTGTTTACTAAATCAGTTTCAGCCTCTTGAGCAAAGTTGCTTTCGTAAAGGAATATCTCTTCACTCCTCTCCACCCACTCATGCTAACACCTGACAACTGGGAAATGCTTGCCTCAAGCAGACAACACCCACACCCCAGACATTAGTTCCATCCCAGCAGATGGCTGGGATGAACTGTCACGCCCTAAACACTGTTGTACTGTGTATTTTATCCCTTTCCAGGCTCAGTGTTTCTGCTGCTTCTCTCTCCCCATTTCTGTGCTATTAAGTGTTGAGCTGTCAATATCTGGCTTCCTCCCTAATTATGTAACACAGGACACGGTGACTCAGTTCAGTAGCAAAATATACAGTAAAAAATGGAAACAACAGATGTGCGTTCAATAGTAGTTTAAATATAATGTATGTGCCTATTACAAACTGTCTCCAGCGGTTTATTACATAATCCAGGTGATTAAGGTTTTTGTTCTTCTTACTTGACCTCATGCGTAAAATTACTTTTTGGAACCTTTGCTGAACCTTAGCTGCATGCTCAAATTAACCCTGAGTAAAATTATTATTAATCTTTTACAGGGCACTCAAAATTCAAAATTTCATTTATAGTGTTGCAAGAGTTTTTTGTTTGTTTCTTCGTTTGGTCATTTGTTTGTGCACACATGTGCATGCATGATTTCATACACCACTAGTTGGACTTGGTGTATTGCTTAATTTTTTTAAAAAGTAAATTTAAAAACTTTACCATAGGTGCTTTGTGACAATAACAGGACAGTAATCAGCTTCTTCTCCGGTAACTTCCTCATTGTGTTGATGGACTTCAGCTCCATTGTCTTAGACGGCAGCAGACCATAGCAGTCCTTGTTCTGCTCTAGAGCCCTGGTGGAGTCAGCTTAGCAGCATTAGTTCCAAAAGTTTTTGAAGTTTTGATTAATGTGGCCCTCAAGCTCACAGCTGAACTCTGAGATGATTAAGACAGCCACATACCAATATCTAATAATTCAGTCATCAGCTGTTTCTCTAGCAACTTCCTCAGTTAGTAAAATCCTGTGACAATTAAAAACAGTCAAACAGTTTTGACCTGCAATTGGCAACTGTGGTCTTCTGGGAGTTCAACATAGCAGCAATTGAACTAGTTCTCCACCAGCTGTGCATTTGGGTTTAGAGTGAACCTCCAGCTTGTTCCAGATCTACAAGATTAGCATTGTAAGCTGCAGTCCACGATGGTGGAGCTGGAGAAAGAAAAGCTAACAGAAGAAGAAGCTGAGGACCACCCGAACAGTGAGATGGTCACTTTGCCATCATGGAAACATGACATAGTTAACAACTGAACTTTCAAAATAGAGTGAAATGAACTCATGAGCAATTAAACAATTCAGCCAAATTGCAAAAACATTGTGCTTCATTAGTTTTTCTGTGTTGGTGAAATAAGTAAGATATGTATTTCTGGGAAACACTGACTGTCATACTTTGCTTTACACATAAAGTATGATATATATTAGGGGTGCAACGATACAC